TCCATGATGTCAAAGGAAAACCAGCTGGAGAAAGAGTTTAATAAGCAGCCCTTTTTTTATTACAATAGGCTTGACGTCATTATTTATTATTTCCAGCACTACAACACAAAGCCATGTGCTACACTGTAGGCCAGGATGAAAAGGATATGTGGACTTTCCTGAGTATTTTAATATCCTCTTATTGACAATAGATAGAAGATCTGAACAAGGACCAGGAACAGGAAATGATTTTAGTGATTTCATTACAGTAATAGGGAAAAGCATTTCCAATGCGCAGGGTTTGGCAGATGGTCTGAGTAAGGCTTCAACTCCTAAACAGCCTGCATGTCAACAAGCCCAGTATTGATATAAGCCCAATATATAATTAACGAGGTATCCTAGTGAGCAGAAAAGTTTTTATAAATATATGCTGTAGCCTTAGCAGTAGAATACAGGAAGCTGGTATTTCCAAGGTAAATTTAAAACCATTTCATAAGGAAAGGTATTCAGAGGCAGCAAAAGGTATACAGTAGGCTGTAGCTAAAGAGCTCTTGATGTTCTAGTACAAATCATATCTGCAGTGAAGTATCAAGTCTGGTACACCTTCACTTAATTTTCTCTAGTGAAAAAGAAATGTAGAATTTTCAGATTCCTGATTTTCATATCTCATTCATAAAACCCTAAAAAGCTTTATAATGTATATTTTGAAATCATGAAGAGTGGTGCTTCCAGCTTTGCTCCTTTTGCTCAAAATTGCTTTGGCTATTTGGAGTCTTTTATGGTTTCACCTGAATTTTAGGATTTTTTTTCTTCTATTTCTGTGGGGAAAAAAAAAAAATGCCCACTAGGATTTTAATAGGGATTGCATTGAATCTATAGACTACTTTGGGTAGCATGAACATTTTAACAATATTAATTCTTCCAATTCATGATCATGGGATGTCTTTCCACTTACTCGTGTCTGCCTGATTTTTTGTGTGTGTTTCATCGTTTTCGGTGTACAAGTCTTTCATCTCCTTGATTAAGCTTATTCCTAAATGTTTTATTTTTTTGATGCTATTAAAAATGGAATTGTTTTAAAACAGACACATAGACCAATGGAACCGAACAGAGAGCCCAGAAATATACCCACACATACACAGTCAACTGATGTCAACAGTGATGCCAAGAATACACCATGGGGAAAGGACAGTCTCTTCAATAAATTGTGTTGGGGAAAACCGGATCACAAAAAGGCAGGAAATTGGACCTTTATCTTACACTATACATAAAAATTAACTCAAAATGGATAAAAATGTAAACATAAGACCCGAAATGGTAAAACTCCACAAAAAAAACAGGGGAAAAGCCTCTTGACATTGGTCTTAACGATCACTTCTTGAAAAGACACCAAGAACACAAGCAACAGAAGCAAAACTAGGTAAGTGGGACTACAGCAAACTAAAAGCTTCTGCATAACAAAGGAAACAACAACACGAAAAGGCAACCTACGGGATGTAAGAAAATATTTCCAAACCATGTATCTGGTAAAGAGTTAATATCCAAATATATAGGGAACTTCAACTCAATAGCAAAAAACCCAAATAACTTGAATAAAAATTTAGGCAAGGAACTGAATAGACATTTCTCCAAAGACATACAAATGCCCACGGGTATATGAAAAGGTGCTCAACATCACTAATCACCAGGGAAATGCAAATCAAAACCAAAATGAGGTATCACTTCACTTCATACCAGTTATAGGATGGCTATTATTAAAACAAAGATAACAAGTATTGATGAAGATATGTAGAAAAGGAAACACTTGTGTACAGTTACTGTGAATGTAAACTGGTGCAGCCACTATGGAAATATTACGGAGTTTCTCCAAAAAAAAATAGGGGTGCCTGGGTGGCACAGTTAAGCGTCCAACTCTTGGGTTTAGGCTGATAGTGATCTCAGGGTCGTGAGATTGAACCCTGCATCAGGATTCTCTTTCCCTTTCCCTCTGCCCCTCCCACTAGTGTGCACGCTCTCTCTCTAAAATAAATAAATCTTAAAAAAAAATAAAAATAAAAATAAAACTACCATTGATCCAGTCTTACTTCTGAGTATATATCCAAAGGAACTGAAATCAGGATCTCAAAGAGACTGCACTCCCATGTTCATGGAAGCATTATTCACAAAGCCAAGACAGGGGTCAAACCTAAATGTCCACCGACAAACAGATGAAGAAAAGGAGGTATATACATACAAAGGAATATTATTAAGCCTTAAAAAAGAATGGTAGATTCAAGTACTCTGCTTACATCAGCTCCATTAACATTCTATTGGCCATTATGTAAATACATAAAGAGGGGCTAGGAATTTTAGAGAGAGTAGAGAAAAAGGACTTTGGTCTTTCCTGTATTGTTAGGATTTTAAAATATTAAAAGGGTGTTCATATATTACTAGTGCTAATAAAGAAAAATCTGTCAGCAAATAAAAAAGCAAAAACAAATAATTCAGAAAAAAACTTAAAAAAAAAAAATAAAGTTTAAATCCCTTTAATTTAAATTTTCTAGCAGTCACATTTAAAAAGGTAGAAAGAGATAGACACTGGGGAGGGTATGTGCTCTGGTAAGTGCTGTGAATTGTGCAAGACTGCTGAATCTCAGATCTGTACCTCTGAAACAAATAATGCAATATATGTTAAGAAAAAAAAAAAGAAGAAGAAGAAGGTAGC